TAACATTAGCGTTAAGAAAGCTTACTTATAATATCTGCCACAACATAAGTAACCGGATCAGAGTAACATTAAGTACAGTCCGCGGCATATCACATCATAATGTATCATTTCCTTATCTGAGTCAGCTGAGCCGTATCTGGCCGTGCAACACTCACAGTGTCACATACTGTATGCAGAAGTGATTATTTGAAGCAACACATTAAGTTGACGAAACACTCGAGTCAAATGTAATTAAAGTCAGATCGTGTCTTAGACGGGGCAGTGATATCATAAACCTGTTAATGTACGCATTCAAAAACACGTTTTCTGTTACCAGCTGTATTCACCTTGCAGGTGCAGCTATGTGGCTTTGATCCTGGATAAAGTGTTTAAGTCATGGATGTTTAAAGTTTAACTTCTTCATATTTGTCTAATATTATAGTTCCCTTTTCATTCAGGAAGTATGACGCTGCGCTGTCAGTACGCTTCTCCATGTTTGTGATTGGTCGAATGCTCCAAATACCACCCCTTTCATGTGAACGTGCACCTAACTAGATAGGACACGGCTGGCTTGAGCGATCCACTTGATAACCAGCGTCAGAGGACCGTTTAGCGAGAGCGCGTATGTTTTGCATTAGGCCAACGGGCTAACTCAAACATATCCAGGTTAGGTTGAACCGGCTTCGTAGTACAGGCCTCTGGTATTTGTGTTCAAAATGTAAGAAGTAAAAAGTCAACAGAAAAATAAGTAGTGGAGTAAAGTACTGATACCAGAAAAATGTGCTTATGTACAGTAACAAAGTATTTGTACTCCAATACTTCCCACCTCTGACTATATCCAGCGTATGCATGTTGTTGTGTGGTGTCTAATGAGCCCATTTGGTGCAGGTCTCACCAGAGTTTCCATCGTTCAGGACCATCTTGCTGTAGCGGGACTCGATCCCTTTCTGGCAAACGGTCTGAAAGCCGAACCTGACCCTCCCGCACGGCTGCAGATTCAACAACATGAACACAAAGTCGTTTTTGTTGTGCAGCGACAGCACTTCCTCCGTGACGTGGTTCAAACCGTCCAGGTGGAAGGTGGTGAGCAGGAAGGAGGACAACTTGTTGTTTCCAGGACAATCCCAGGCCAACGACATGCTGCTGCCATTAAACAACGTCACCTTGAAGTCTCTGGGAGTGTCTGGGTCTGGTGGGAAACAGAAACGGTTAGGCGTTTTTGATTCTTTAGGTTATAATTTTAAAAATATAAGCTATCTATCCAATACAAATTATAAAGCGTAGTCTAACACTTCAAAATCGACTCAACATCAGTCCACTGAGAGTACAAATATGGCCACTTTCTGGTAAAAACTGCCATTTTAGATCCTAAAAATGCAAGAAATGGATTGAACATTCTCAATAGCCCCCAAATACACTCCAAATCAACAAAGCAAATGTTTTAACTGCATTGTTTGCATAGGCTACAATGCTAATTAACATTAATGCAATTTGTGCAATGAGTACTTTTACTTTTGGTACTTTAAGTATATTTTGATGAGAATACTTTTCTACTTTTACTTGAGGAACATTTTGAATGCAGGACTTTTACTGTAACAGAGTATTCCTACACTCTGGTACTTCTCGACTCAAGTACAAGATCAGAGTCCTTCTACTTTTACTCAAGTACAAGACCTGAGTACTTCTCCGTCCTCTGAGTACATACCGGTGATAGTAGAAAGGCAGGTGAGGGTCTGAGTCTCCACACAGGCCACGTAGTTGCTGCAGGACTCCAGAGCTGTGAAGCGGTAATGGTTGTCTGTGGTTGTGTCCATGCTGAGAGTTTTATATGAACCCAGCTCACTGTGGTAAAGATTCACAGTGAGACTGGATGATGATGATGGAGGGTTCTCCACCCAGGAAACCAGCAACATGGAGGGACTCCTGGACTCCAGTTGGATGGGGAAACGCATAGTGTGGCCTGGGATGAGCAGAAGTGTAGTTGCAGTCAAACAAAGGCATAGTACATTTAAAGCAGTGTAAATAGACCCATAAACATCGTGAAACTTATCCTCAATACGGAAATGCAGTTGGAGTTAAACAAAGGCATAAAATGTAGTTTGAGTCAAACAAAGGCATAGGCAATTTAAAGCAGTGTTAATAAACCCATTAAATAATGGAGACATGTCACAGTAGAGACACTACATACTGATATACACCTGAAAATAAGCATATCAGGGCCTCTTTAAAAATGGAGGTCTGGTTGACAATTAAATACAATAAATAACTGAATAAACAAAAAGACAATCTCACCAATTGCAAGGAAGAAGTGGTCGTCCTGGTATAAGAATAATGTGCTATTCTCACATGCAAACACTTCAGTGGGGCTCAGAATCTCCAAGAACCCCTGAAGAAAGAACAAGTTAGCAAGAGTGAGCTGGACTGTGTTCAGAATCTAACATATATAATGTATAATATTGTATTTTTGATATATCATAAGTACCTTTGTGGCACTTGTTGGTTTCTCTTGGGGTTTCTGACGGCCTCTGATCTCAGTGAACCTTGTCCCTAAAGATAAACACATTTACATTTTAAAAACTAGTGATTTTTAGTATGCTAGGATATTTTAAAAGATACTTACGTGGGCTAATTCTTAAAGTCCATGCCTCAACGTTGTCGCCATACTGAAGGGTGAGCTTGTTTTCAACACCTGGAGGCACCATCAGAGAGGTGACCTTCCCCTCCTTCCTGATGTTTCCTAATGCGGTGTCATTCAGCCATACGTTCACATCCTGCCTGAAAAGATGGAAAAATGCATGTTTAATGATACCCTATTGATTATATGTACACAAGTATTAATTTGAGTATTTCCATTTAAAGCTTATTTACACTTCTACTGAACTACATTTCAGAGGCAAATATCATACAATATATTATTATAAAATATGATATGATCCTGTCTTTACCACTATTAAATACATGAGTATTGGTGAAAATACCGAGTATATTAGTACAATGCATGAGTTTTTAATATATATAAAACTAACTGGTTATTGTATTGGAGAAGAAGTAAAAACAATACTACGTAAATACAATACTATAGGAAACAAATATTGGAGTAACATTGAATTTATTAATGCCGATTTAACCATTAATATATGATATGTTAATTTTTTACTATATATCCAGATTTGCCGATTAGCACACAGTCTCTTTAATCTGTAACGAAGACTGCACGTGCACACGACTAAAAAACGTGCTTTCCTCGCGCTCACCTTTCCAGGACATGGTTGGTGTCCATCCAGCAGATCGAAAAGGACATATCATGGCACCGTCCTGCAGGAAAACCACTCAAAGTATCTCCAAAATGCAACAAAACCTGGATTATTTCCACTGCGTAACATGTGTGCTACTCACCAAACATTATGGTGTGAGGCACCAGGATGAAAAAGATGAAGGAAAACTCTAAAGAGTTCCTGGAAACACAAACGCGGATTAATTATCTGATTTTGAGTCAGATAATACTGAATATTAACGTATTTATATCTTACATTTTCTGTGTTATTCCAGCAAAGAAGAGCATTTTGTGTTTCTCAGAGTCGAGGCTTTTTTGGACTCCTAATAAGTGGCAGGTGTGTGCTGCCTTCACGCACCTGATCACGTGTCGTACTTTTCAGCGTTTAATGCAATTTTATACTTTTTTTAAATTGTTATTTAGGAGATTTCATGGGAAACTCAAGTCTGCAGTGAGTGTTTGTAATTGATATTAAGATATAAACAGAACTAAGAAAAATACAAATGTAATAATTGACTCTTAAATCCATCCGTGTGTGTGAGCTTAACTGTATGTATTAAACTAAAATGGCATTTGAGATACTTGTACTTTACTTGAGTATTCTCATAAAATATTACTATATACTTCTGCTCTACTACGTTTTGGAAGCTAATGTCGTACTCCTTTACTACTTTATGTACGATTTATTTACTATTTACTTTACAGATTACAGATTTTGTCACACAATACTTAGCCAAAACTATTAAAACATGATTATTCGGTATAGATTAAACCCTCACAAATTATATCAAACTAACTAAACCATGAGTGTGATAAAAGGAAATTAATTGGGAGCAATTCTGCTAAGAAGTGTTTCTGTTAAAACATATTTCACAGTTCCAGCTTCTTAAATGTGACGATTTGCTGCTTTTGCTTTAAAATATAAACATATTTTTAGAGTTCTTTACTCCAAATACTTTAAGTACATTATCCTTATTATATACTTTTACTTAGGTACCAATCTTGATGCAGTACTTTTACTTAAAACAGTCTACAGTCTGGTATTAGGGTGCGCAAAGCATTGTGGGGATTTTAAGGACGCAAAGTCTACCCATGTGCAGCCTCGAAATTTCCCCCAAACCAAGGACGCGGCCTCGGTGGAATTCCAAGTATGCTGGAGATTGGAACAGTCTTTCGGCGGCACTCGATGACGTAGCATCCTTGAAATATTGTCTTGGAAGCCAGAATCCTCGAGATTGGGAAATGGCCACAGTTCTGTTCCGCCAGAAACTAAATCAAATCCTCCATGCTCTCAAGAAGCCTCCCGTGAGTTACTGCAGTTGTTAAAAGGAAAGGTGATGCAACACAGTAGTATACATGCCCCAGCTTTTTTTGGAACATGTTGCAGGCATCGAATTCAAAATGAGTGAATATTTGCACAAAAACTTGATAAATTGAGTTTATCAGTTTGAACAATAAATATCTTGTCTTTGTAGCGTATTCAATTGAATATAGGTCGGAAAGAATTTGCGAATCTTTGTATTCTGTTTTTAATAATGCGTTACACGATGTCCCAAATTCAATGGAATTTGGATTCGTAGGAACCCCCCTCTCCTAGAGCTGGAAGTTAAGCGATATACTGCTTTTTTCAGCATTTCCGTTGTCATTTCAGCCGGTGTACTTCTGTTCGTTTGTTATTTTGTTCAAACCACAAACAGAAAATTGAAATACCAGGCCCTCCACTGGAACGGCTCTCCTGAGGGTTTCTAACGACATCCTGATGGCTTCTGATGTGGGTGATTGTGAGTGTTAGTACTTCTTGACCTAAGTTCTGCGTTTGACACTGTAGACCACCATCCTGATCAAGAGGTTACGTGACTGGGTGGGCATATCTGGCATAGCATTAGACTGGTTTGCATCATATCTTGCCGACAGAAGTTTCACCGTCTCGATTGGAGACTATGTGTCAGACTCCTCTCCACTGTCCTGTGGTGTACCGCAGGGCTCGGTCTTGGGGCCTCTGTTATTCTCCCTATATTTGCTACCCTTATGACATGCAGATCATAAACAGTTTTAACATTATCACTTATACGCGGACGATATCCAGCTCCACATTTCATTCAAACCTAGTGAGGCTTTTAGGATATCTAGACTCTTATAATGTCTTAGTGCTATTAAGGACTGGACGGCAGATAACTTCTTACATCTCAATGCTGATAAGACCGAGGTTCTGGTTGTTGCACCAGAAATGATTACGCCCTTGATTCTGAAAAGTCTTGGACCATATTCCTCTGCTGCCAACTCCAAACTACGCAACTTAGGGGTAATATTTGACCAATCTGCATCGTTTGATACCCATGTTAAGCAACTGACGAGATCCTGTTTCTTCCACCTACGAAATATTAGCAAACTGAGATCTGTAGTTTCAACACCCGACCTAGAAATTATTATCCATGCATTTATTTCATCTCGCATTGATTACTGCAACGCGTTGTTCTCCTCTCTCAGCTTGTCTGCCCTTGGTCGTCTGCAGTCAGTCCAGAATGCAGCTGCAAGACTTCTCTCCCGGTCAAACAAACGGACCCACATTACCCCGATACTCAGATCACTTCACTCGCTCCCTGTAGTTTATAGGATTAAGTTCAAAATCCTCACTCTCAACTACAGAGCTTTGCACGGTCAGACTCCTGCTTATGTGGCCGACTTAATTCATCCTTATACATCAGCCCGCCCACTCAGGTCTCACAGGCAAAATGTACTGTCTGTCCCTCGTACCCACCTTAAGACCCGCGGTGATCGAGCGTTCGCAGCTGTGGCTCCTAAACTATGGAATGCTCTGCCTGCTCATCTACGGTCTGCGGACACTGTTGACTCTTTTAAACTATTTTAAAGACATTCCTGTTTGGGCTGGCGTTTGGGTAACCGGTGTGCTTGATTTTATTCCATTTTATACTATGTTTTTAATTTGCTTGTTTTAAATTTTGTTTGTAAGTTTTGTTTTGTGTTTTTATTGTGTCTTAATTATGTTCTGGTTGCTTTTATGACTTCTTAACATGTGGCTTATGTGTTCATTGATCATTGTACGCCTCCTATGTTGATGTCTTATTGTTTTGTCAAGCACTTTGTGACTTTGTCTGTGAAAAGCACTTTATAAATAAACTTTACTTACTTAATGTAAATACCCGTATGGCTGGTTGTGGTGGATCACAAATGATGTGGCACCTCTATTCAAATTGATAATCTTTGAAACAACACAACAGTTTATCGTGTAAAAAAGAAGTTTTGCCCACAAGTATTTGTTATTTCTTAGATTTAGGTCGCTCTGCAATACAATTCATTCAGAACAATTGCATGGCTGTTGGCAACACATCCCATCCCATTTACTAAATAAAGTCTATGGGGCAGTTCCTTATTCCTTTTTCGTTTTAAGTATTTTGTTGTGTGAATTAATCTCAACCCATTATAACCCTTTTAGGGTTTGGCAAAAAAAAATAACTCATACTTATCAACCCACAACTAAAAGCACAAAACAGTAAACATTCATACAATACTCGTCATTCTGACAAAACAGCATCTTTTTTATTTATTTTTTTACAATTTGTTTATTGAACTTTTAAAAAAAATGTTAGAAACAAACAGAACAGAAAAAAGGGGACAGGACTGAGACAGGACGAATACAGACAAAACAAAATGAAAAACTAAAGGCTCAGAATCTAAATCCATTATTAATAAGAAAATGAAGAAGTAAAAGTCAAACAATGTGTTTAATGGGAACAAAAACACCAACAAATCAAATCAAACTAATTGTTTAGTATGTGTAATACATTAACAGTGTTACACCAATACTTTGATAAACATCCTACCATCATCAAAATAACCGGTTACTGTTCCTTAAAAAACACATTCAAATCTTCTGAGGTATATTTTTATGAATATACAGTATGACTTTGAAGTTAAGTTGGATGTAATTTAATATTAAGGCTGGTATTATAATTTGTTATACCTCTCAACTTCAAGGCCTGCGGGGCCAAAATTGGTCCACGACCTCATTTTATGTTTCCCGCAAGAGCTTGCAAAGAATATAATATACACTACAATTGGCGTAATTGTTGAATAAGTGCCTGATAAATAAATTATATATTATTATTATCTAGCCGCCCTTTTGAGGACATGTGTAGGAGAAGAGAACATCCATCATATTCTTAATAATAGGAGGTTGTGGGTGCAGGTTGTTTGGCAGGTGGTGAGCAAGGACCATCTCCCAGGCATCAATCAGATGAACATTCAGTCCTTTAAATATGGCTCTTAGCACCTTATCACACTGCACTGAGAACCAGTCGCTGTTGTTTATCGCCACATCAAGCAACAAAGCTTTGGGGTTTGCAGTCCTGATGATGATCACCGTTTTTGGAGCCCTGCCCAACAGCCGCACCACCGCCCTGCGGATCCTTTGTAGCCGCCGGATGTACACCTCGATGGGGAAAGAACCAAAGTGAGCCCAGATGCCAAAAACGACAACAGTGTTGGGAACCCCGATCAAGTCATCTAGTTCATTGGCAATGTAACGAATGTCTTTCATCGAGCCGATAAAACGGAGAGGAGGACCATGGAGGCGGAAAGTCACCATGATTTTGTTTTCGTAGTCTAAGGCCAGGAAAGGTCCAGTTTGCCTCGAGCTGCCCAGGTTAAACTCCTTAAGATCTAAAGGTATCAGAGGAAACAGATTAAGATGCAGTGTGAACGTAATGAAACTGTTTTATTGATTAGTTACCTGGTAGTGCTGCGTTGAGGAACTCAAACCACTGCCTGATGGTAGAGTCTCCATACAGGTGGACCACTTTGCCTTTTAGACACTGAGTGATGGCAGATGCACCGGTGAATTGGCGAACTTTGGTGCCATCTAGTGCTCGCCATAAACCCTGGTAGTAATAGCCAGAGGCTTGAAAGTTCACAATGCTGCTCTCCACCTCTGGTTGACCTGAGAGAAAGTTAAAGGATAATAGGAGGGTTGTTTTACATTTGTTACTCTCCACCTTAACCAAATCAAAGTATAAAGTGAATGTATGAACATGTTATGGCCTCACTCCTGAGAGACACTGCAACAGCTGGGCTGTGTTGACAAAGTTTGAGCTGAGAGCTGCATGCTCCCTTTGCTCCTGTCAAATTGGCCTGTTAAATACATCTCTGAACTGGAGAATGATCCCCAGAAGAAAGAGTTTTTTTTTCTTTTCCTGCCCCTATACTTTCGTCATCTGTACATGTAGCACATTAGATATTGAATTCAGTGATAAATGCATTCCTTACCTTCCTTTTTTGGTAAAACAGTGACACCGGCAGGTCCTGAAGCCGGAATGCAGACTTTCAAGTTGACACGACTGAAGAAAAGCACACACAATACTACAATAAACATTAATATCCCAAATGCATGTGCTTGCACTATTTTTCTTTTGGTATTTACTTGCACTATCTTTTCTGTTTTTCAGGTTTATTGTGTTGCACTCAGTGGCGTAGCCAGGAATTATTGTGTGGGTGGGCCTGGAGAAATGTAGGTGGGCCAGGGGGAGACATATTAAGCGTGGGGTCTGAGCTGAAACTTCATTAATGATTTTTTAATGCACTAATAGAACATAAGCATAAATTAGTAGTGAAAACAAAAACATAGGCACGGCAGCCTCAGAATGTGTTTAAAACTGACATCCACATAGGGATGGGTATCGTTAAGGTTTTAACGGTACTACTACTTTTATCAATACCGCTTATCGATCCGGTCCTTTAACGGTACTCTTATCAGTTATTTTGGAGAAAAAAAGAAGGTAAACTAACTAAACAAATTGAGAACGAAACTAGCATTGCTTTTTATTTAAATTAAATACATAATATTTCACATCAAAAGAAACAATAATGGTTAAACTAATCTTATTAAATAATCTGATGACAGAATTGTAAACAGAATAGCTGACACTTTAACTAAATAAATAACTCAAGTTACCTCTAATCATTAACACATGTTTGTATAATGTAGTTAACTCCGTGTGTTGCTGCTAGCATACATAACACCTGACGTGGAAACGTTACTCGTGGATGGGGCAACAGAGCTACTTGAAAGACAGTCGAAAACGATGCATTTCTCCGTCTGGATGTGGAGCACTTTTGCTAAATGTTTAGATAAATTGCTCGTGTTACCGCCCCTACATGCTAAACTCTTATTGCACTTTTGGCAACGAGCATTGTCCACATCGAGACGGGTAAAGTTTAACCACACCTCGGAGCGCGTTCTCTCCGCCATCTCCGCAGTGTGTCGCTGCATGTAGCAGCTGCGTGTGTGTAAACTGCCCCGCCCCCTCTCACACAGAC